TGTGGGAACCTTGTATACAACCAACCAATACACCAAAAAAGAGAACCTACACCATAATATGGTTCTCAACATATAGGAACCTCGAAAATACACCGAACGGAAAGCCGAGACAAAAAAATTGACAAGGCATTTGATTGGACAAAACATGTTACTTGTACACATGACATATTTTTATTTTGACAAGGTATGTCACGTCATTTGGCATGTGGAATCATTTTCTCTCCTTAAATTATTTGGCATTCTAGGCTTGAAAGGGTGCTTGTAACATTAAATTTACACTGGTTAAGAGTCTTGAGGAGACCACATTTTAGATGATCAATCAGAATTCTAGTTTATGTTCTAAAGTCCAATCGACCATTTGAGAGAATTCCTCTAAAATAGCCACAAACTCGCATATCAACCAATTAGCGGAGTATGAGTCGACAACTTGGTTAACATCCCACTATCTTCAACTTCAATTAGGAGCTACGTGTGTTTGAAAGACCGGTGCATACTCCCTGTAGTAAATCATTTCATAAAATTGCATGACTAAAATAAGCTTGGTTAATCGTTGGCTGAAGCTAATCAAGTGCCCATGAGTTTGATCTAGAACATGATGTATTTTTAATCCAAAGGTTTGAAGTTTGATTTTGATTTAATTCTTGATCTTTGAATGCTAGACACATGAATGCTTGCATGTAGAGAAATTCATTTATTTGACTAGGTATGTCACATCACTTAGCATGTGACATAATCCTATTTGACTCTTTCACTCGATTCAGTGTGTCGCTGACATGCTCTAGGATAAGATGACAGCTTAAACAAACAAAGTGATTCATCATTTTAAGTCCAAATCAACAGAATATCCCAACAAAATTAGACCTTTTTAATCAAATCCAAATTCATCAAACTCTTATTTGGGCTAATATATCTTTAATCAACACAAGAGTAGTACCTGAGTTGCAAGAACACCACTAATTTGTGCAGCAATACCTTGAACCCCTCTCCAAAGAGCATACTCCAAGTAATCACTTGTAACACTCTCCGGAAATCCCTCAGGAAGAAACAAAGTCGTTGTTAATTCCTTGCATTGCATCCACAAATTGGAAACAAAACTCCCCGATGTCGAATCAGGCCATAACTGTGACCACATTGTCTTAGTAAGAACAAATTCATCCTTTGAATAATCTGGCACAAGTTCAAACCGTTTTCCTCCTCTAATTTCATACACAATTTCTCCATTATTAGTTTTTGCTTGTACAAATGAAGCTAACAGTAAGCAGCAAGTAATTGAAGAAGAAGCTGATACAAGGAACAATAACAATGGTTTACACGATAATACGGAATCGATAAAAGTATCTTCATCTCTAAAAATAGGAAGGAGGAGAATCTTATCAAAATTGAAGAAATTGTTCCACCAATCGCCGCCGCCACTACCTCCGTTGTTTTTACCGTTTCCACCAGCACCGCCACCGCCGTTTCCGATGTAGTTATCTCGGCTGGATGAACGCCGAAGAAGAGACAGCCTTTGGAATTTAACCGGAGTGAAAGGAGGAGTGTAACCGGTGGCGGCGGAGAACACGGCGGTGGTCGGCGGAGGAAGGAGGGGAAACGGCGGTGAAGTCAAACGGGAAAGAGAGAGAGGGTGGCCGGCGTAGCGCATGACTAGTGAGGACTCTTCGAAGAAGTTGTTAGGTCGCGCTTTTTTTTAATTTATTATTACTATTATTAATTTTCCTCATTTATATTATCTTTTTTTCAATTTGATATTTATATTAAGGATTATTGAATCGAAATTGCGTATTGTAAGATTTATTTTTTAAAATAACGTTCAAAAAGTATTGCCCCTTTTTTAAATCATTTCAAATGTTCATGATTTAATATAAGTTGATTTTTCTCTAAAAAGATGATCAAATTAATTTATGGAATAATTAATTTTTTAAATATCAGAATCAAATAAAATCAATTAAGTTGATGTTTTTATTTCATTTTTTGTAATATATTCAATATATTACCGATTTTTTATTTAAATATATGATAGGAGTAATATAGTTTCAAACGCATAACATGCACTATATTCTCACATAACATTAATCAAAAATAATTAATATAAGAAAAAAGAGGAAATATATACGTAATCAAGTTAAAAAAGAGGAAATATATACGTAATCAAGTTATATATATATGACTTTCTCATAAAAAAAAAATTGTATGCATTTTTAAGCATTTTACCATTTCTAAGGAACATAAAAAAAATCTTACACTATGCAAAAATTAAAAATTTTTATATAATATATCAATATATTTTAACGATAATTGAACAGAACGGTGATAAATAACTAAATAATTAAAAGATTAAATTATTTTAAACATGAAGTAAATTTTTGAATTTCATCAAATAAAAACTATAAACCATATTAAACAATAAAGTGATTACTATAAAGACAAACACATTTATTTTTGGTTATAGGTTTTTAAATTTTGCCAAATTGTTACAATCCATACGATTAAATTTTCCAATATAATAGCAATTGTCTTTTGTCTTTGCTCCAAATTTTAAAAAAAAAATTGTACTCATCTATTATTGTTAGTAATAAAATAATAATATATACTCATTTTGTGATCTTCTCCAAAGCTATGAGAATTCTCTGATTTCCTCATAGAGTACCTACATTCAAAGATTTTTATTAGTAAACAACAATTATCATCGAAAACTCTTATTATATTATCGATAGAAAATTGATTATAACAAGTACTATTAAAATTAAATCTACGTCATTTGATAGTAATATCGAACTTGTTATAATTGTAACTGAGATAAATTGAAAGTGTATATATACTCGAGAAACTTGATAGGTAGTTATCTATTAAAAAGATAAACTAATGTAATTTAAAATTAAACTATTATTCAAATTAGTCTTCTTATATTAGTAAAAAATATGGGAAAGATATGAGTTCTTTCAATTCAACAACTAGGAAGTACTTAAATATATGATTTTATAATCATGTAAATATTTATAATTAATTTAAAAATTAAATTAAATATATATATTTTTTAAATTCTAGCTCCAATCAAATATCATCATCTAAATGACGCAGAAGAAGTATCATTTTATGGTAATAACACACAAAACAAAATATCGCTTGTGTTTATCAAGAAGGAAAATGATTTTCATGAAAAATATTATGATAAATTAGTAGAAAAAAAATATGGATCTAAATTTATTATCCACCATTATTCTCTAGTTGACATTGAGACTTCAAAAAAAATGTAGAGAGTTGGTAATTTTCGATTCTATTTTTAAAAAATAACTTAAATCACGAAGTTTTAAATTTTACTAGAAGAATTTTTAAACTATTATCCTGATGTTTTATTTGTGAAATCTAAAATATGATAACAATGAAGTTTCACCTTAATGAGTGCATGCATATTAATAATCTAGGAATCTTTTTCTCGTGTCGAGAATAGAACCAAATCAAGAAAATAAATCTCGTCTATTTCAATTAGGGTTTTGTTTATACGGTCTTTTGACCCCTTCTTGATCGTTTTTTTTTATTTGATAAATATAAACAGACGATTGCGATAGATCGATAATTTAATTAAAAAAATTAAAAGGTCCTTCATTGATTAATCCATCAAGATATGGAGTTAATTAACATGTTTAAAAATGTATCTCTAACATCCAACCAACTTGGTAAATTAACCTAGCTAAGTGACACCAAATTCTATTTGGCCTTTTTCTTTGATAAAAATTGAAAAGGTCTTCTAACTATTAAATTAAAACCATTATTGCTATCTAACTATTTATATTTGTATGTAGTTTGAAAATAAATTCTTGTAATCTAAAAGTTGTTAAAGGTATACGTATCTTCATTCAATTATTCATATTTCACAAGTAAAATTGAAAGAGAACAGCGTGTACGACTTTATCCATCTAGAATCTAGACTGTTACCGCTACACCCCTAACCTCAAAATAACCAAAGAAGAGGCATCTTCTTCCCTTTTTTTTCCCCTAATAGAATATAAAATTTAGCCTCCTAAGTTTGCATTCACTTCACTAACCACTAAATCACACCCTTTTCTCCGGGAGAGTGAAGGGGGTCAGAGGATCACAAGACTTGTAAATCTTTTATCTCTTACTAATAATATAAATAAATAAACCAAATTAAGTAAACAACTTCAATGTCCACATCAATAAAGTCAATATCAACCCAATTACCTAACCCATTAGTTCAAAGCATAATCAAAAGATTCAAGAATGATGACACACCATGGATTAGGACATTAGTAGAAGAAATTCTAAACAATTAAAATGATTCTATATGGTGGAAAATCACAATAATTGGTACCTATTATTAATTTTAAAAATTAATAATACATCATTATTGATCTGTTAAATTATTATCAGATTATTTTAATATATGATTCTTGGTAACAAACTTATCAACTTTTTTATAGCTTAGATAAGCAAAGCTACAATTAGCTTATGTGCTTACTTAAACAACAAATTATTTTTCTATCTATAATCCTCAAAATCAGCCATAAGCTTTGTTTAATTAGCTGCATTAAATAGTTAAATAGCTAATTAAATAACAATAAACATGTTATGATTTATCCTGAATTTTCTACCTTATATATTTGAATTTTACTATGATTATGTTTTACATTGAAAAGGAAAACTAACCGTTTTCTTGGAGGAAAAAGTTTGAACTTCTATAATTAAAGTTTATACGAGGATCTAACAACACAGATACAAAAAGTTCTGAAGAGGATCCGAGCAATATAGACCATGAGTCCTAGACTAAGCACTATACTCAGATTGAAGATACAGCAATAGTGTCAATAGTCCTCTTTTAGCATGAGAAATGACCAAATGAACAACAGTAGGCAGTGGCGGATCAAGAATTAGATACTACGAGTATTGAGTGGGTTCTAAAAGTGTATATCTAACACCACTTGTACTCGTTTTTTCGCTCATACATATAGCGTTGAGCTGCTCAAGTTATGTCATTCATCTGATTTTCGAAACAAGTAATATATTTACACAAGTCAAAAAAAGGAGGTTATTACAGCTAAAGCTGTGTAGTTATAACAAGCTAGAAAGGGCACAACTTTTGTACAAACAAGTCAAGTAACTCTTAACGGACCTTTACGTTCCAGATTCTTCCACGATGACTCGAGCTGCAGTAGGTGTAACTTCTCAACAAATGCCTCTAGAACTTGAGCCTCTTCTTCTGGTGCAAAGACCATGCAAATGCTAAGCTCCTGGACCGCCTCCTCGTATTCCCTGGATATTTGTTCATTTGTTCATAGTTTCACAGCAAAAACTAAGAAAAGAACAGAAAAAGTGTCACTGTTTACCTGCTATAGTACAACATCATGCCGTGGTCTCTCCTCAGAACCCAATTGTGTGGCTGCAGAATCAGCAATCTTTGCGAAGCCATAATAGCCAGCCTAGAAAGTCGGTACCATCCCAGACATATAGTCATTACAGGCGAGAAGTATATTGCACACAAAACTTCTACTGAAAAAAAGAAGTTCTTACTAGCCTAAAGGCGCCTAAACTAATAAAACGAACACCTGAGAAACATTGTCAAGCATGTTTCTACATTTCGGATAAAAAAGATAATGCATTTAATCAAATGTCAAGTCGAGGTAATCCCATGTTTGATGAAAACAAACTATTGAAACCGAGGATGCAGAAATGGACATGGATGTAACATTGATGAGAACTCGAAAGGTTTCATTCTTAACAATCATATCTAAAGATTAGTGCAAGTTAGACATATTAGGCAGACCAAAGAAATATCAACGGGTAGTGCAGTTTTGGAGAATCAGACACAGATGTGACAACATTTTTGGAGAGTTCGAGCAACACAGATATTAGGATAGACCACCGAGTTTAGATATGGAAAGCACTTTGTGAAACCAAATATTTGGGAACCTGATTATGCTTGACTAACTAAAAAACCAGATGGAGGAATTAAAACTCATGCAATATTGCAGCATAGGAAGTAATTAGAATCAATAAGAATAATAATGTATGTAGCCAAAATTATTCGCGGTTCTCCTTTTCTCATGGCAAATGGTGCATATTTGCATCTTGAACCTGTAGGGACAACACAAAGTGGCCTACTTAATCAGGAACGGGAACCAGCGGTTGTAACAAAGACACTATTAGAGTATATGATCTTTACCTCAAATCTTGAGGCCGCAGCAAAGGTACAGTTGAAGCATCGGTCTTCTTAAACTTCTCGTCAGACTTATCCACAGACCTAAGTGGAGAAGCCAGCATCAAACCATGAATTGCTCTTGACGCACGTTTCCAATGAATCCTCTGCGTAGGAACCTCCGATAAAGTCAGGAAAGGATAATACATATAATAGAAGGGGTTCTGTATATTTGTCCAATTCATCTCGTTCTTCTTTTCTTCATAGTAATAGTACGAGTACACTATTTCAGTAAACTTCACTTCATTTAGTTCAGTTTAGTTTAGGAAAAAGAACTATTTTGCCAAATCTACGAATGGCAATTAGCGACATTAATATTCATAAATAACACCATGAGATGTATAAATACAAGCTTAAAACGTCCAAAAAGACTCTACCTTTTAGAAGAACAAAACTCACCATGAGATTAGCCAAAGCGATTCCGATAATATCTCGGTTTGTTGCAATCTCAAGCTCTGACAGTGAATTGCTATTGATGTCCGAGGCCATTGATCTAGGGTCATCAACGCACTTCCCGTTAACAATACCAAACAAGCTGTGACCGGAAGTAACCTTGAATAGCTCCTACAACAGTTGCAAATGTAGACATACCAACTCAATGAGACTAGAGATCAACTTAAATTCTGAAGGATTATACCAGAAGTAGTATATGGACATGCCAACGAAAAGATCAAAACATCCATTTTCTCGATCAACATACCTCAGGGTTTCCTGTTTGGGGCCATATCAGGAATTCTTCTCCAATTCGAGATCCCACAATGGTTAGATTAAGTCTTCGACAAACTTCAATGTAAATGACGCTAAGCAAAATTGCTGTACATAAGTTAAACACATGTCAGATTACATTAATATAAATGAAGCAATCAGGAAAGAATTTTGAATTTCATGAGCCTTAAGAAATACGCAAAATAACGAGGATATTGGTGAGACAAATTTGAGATGTACCGCTACAATGTCCAGAGCTTAACACTGAATGCAGGTATGAACATTTTGAGTCCACTGTCACAGATGACCTTTTGAAACCCCTCGACTTAAAAAGAACAACGTTCACTGCATCCAAAACTTCAACCAAATGGCATCCTATATCTCTCGGAACTAGCTCTGCCTCAACTTCTCTTGCAATGGAATCTAACTCGGCCATCCATTCACTCATATTCTTTCCAGCCAGAGGCATGGCATCCACGCATTTCCAGTCTAGTGTATCAGATGGCAGTGAAGTAGATGTTCGTTCATTTTGGAGTGAATAAAAATCCAGTTCCCGGTTGAAATCCATAAATGCCTCATCTTCAGAAGCAACGTAGAGCAAAGCCTAACCCGGATAATAGAAAACGACAAAACAACCAATGAAGAAAGCAATTACTACAAGTAAAAGAACGAAAAACATGCACGTTACTCGCAAAATGATGGTTTAACTCGAATGCTGAACGCCTCCATTCATACACAAACATTTTTTTACTTATTTTTGCATTTATCTAAAGGAAAAACGACAAAGCCGGAAATTATCTATGGACAGAACATTCCAAAAACAAACAGCCACTTCATTTCTGTCCCTCGAAACCAAAAAAGTGGTTATATTCAAACCAACTGATCAACTGCATTGCACGAAAAGAGCTTAGCAAGACAAATTACTACCTTTGCCAGGGATATATCTTTGTCCTTGGACTGAAACGATATCTCCTGTGTAAACTTTTCCCTAGCATCTTTCAAAACCTGCCAAATCGCAAAATCTCAATCAATGATCAAAATTTAGACCGAGATACTTCAATAAAACAAAAATAGGCATATTATATACTCGCTCCATTTCATTCTTATATGGTCGTGTTTGACTGGGCACAACGCTTAAGCCCAGAAAGATCTTAAAATTTGTGCTCTTTAACATGTAATGACATTTATATGGCGAAAAGAACACATTGCTAAAAGTAAGGTGTCCAAATACAGAAAGGTGTCATTCATCTTTTAACAGGCTAAGACGGAAAGGGTGTCCCATAAAATAGAACAAAAGAAAGTATCTCTATTCACTGATTAAACAAGTGTGAAATCACCATCTTGACAGCAAGAATTGATCTATAAAGCAGCATATAACAAGAAATGTAGTCCCAAACCTCCTTATAGAATTTGGCTTGCGAGGACCATCGGGTTTCTGCTAGAGCAGCAGAGGAAGCCAAAGGCGAAATGCACATTCCCAATTTAGGTGCCTTTGTACTTGCAGAAGCAGCAGCCAATTTGTTCCATTTTCCTTTCTCGTTCCCAATCCAACATCCAACGCGACCATCAAAATTACACCTGATGATCCCACAGAATAAAGGGTTTGGGAATTTTCGCCTAGTACTAGCATAAATTCTTCTCCAATCCATAAATAACTTTACATAAACAAAGTACAATCAACAACAAAAAAGAAAAAAAACAGCCCATCAAACACCCTTCTAAAGCTCACATTTTTCCTGATAAATCAAAACAAGAATCAAAATTCAACAAACATCATTCTAAAGAAACCAAAAAGAAAAGCAATAAAACTCACATTTTTCTTGATAAATCAAAACAAGAATCAAATTTCAACAGATAACTTTCTAAAGAAACCAAAAATAGAAGAATAAAGCTCACATTTTTTCCTGATAAATCAAAATTCATCAAACACCCTTCTAAAGAAACCAAATTTACCAAACAGAAGAGAAAAAAAAGCTCACATTTTTCCTGATAAGTCAAAACAAGAATCAAAATTTAACAAAGACCCTTCTAAAGAAAGAAAAAAGAAAAGAAAAAAAAAGTTCACATTTTTCTTCATAAATCAAAACAAGAACCAAAATTCCGTAGACACCCTTCTAAAGAAACCAAATACAGAAGAAAAAAAAACTTGCATTTTTTCCTAGATAGATCAAAACAAGAATCAAAACTCATCAAATACCCTTCTAAAAGCTCACATTTTTCTTGAGAAATCAAAACATGAACCAGAATTCATCAAACACCCTTCTAAAGAAACCATAAACATAAGAAAAAAAGATTGCTTTATTTTTTTCCAGACAAATCAAATTTTATCAAACACCCTTCTAAAGAACACAAAAAAAGCTCACATTTTTCTTGATAAATCAAAACAAGAACCAAAGCTCATCAAACACCCTTCTAAAGAAACCATAAAGAAAACAAACAAAAAAAAGATTGCATTTTTTCCTGATCAATCAAATTTCATCAAACACCCTTCTAAACAAAACAAAAAATGTTCACATTTTTCTTGATAAATCAAAACAAGAAGCAAAATTCATCAAACAGAAACCATAAACAAAACAACAACAAAAAAAGATTGCTTTTTTTTTCCTGATAAATGAAAACAAGAACCAAAATCCATTAAAACCCAAATGCAACTCTTAAATTTTACCTGCTGCAAATGTCTAAAGAAACCATAGCTACTGAAGATGCTTTCACACCACTGATAACCATTCCTCTAGTCCAAGAAAACTAAAAGAGGGGAAAACAAACAAGAAGAAGAAAAGTTGAAATCTTTGATCAATTTAGTTGTTCCACTAGTTCAAGAATCAAAATTGGAGTTTTTATGTGTGTGTGTGTTTTTTTTTGTATGAGTCCATTTTGAGTAGTGAAATTGAACAAAGAAACTGACAAATTGAAGTAACTGAAATAATTATGACAAGTAAAAGAACAAATGTGGAAGCTGACAATACAACTAGGATTACACAGCATTCCAAGACCCATGGTATTGGAGGATACTTTTAAAATCTTCTCTTTTCACACTAATAGATTTCATGAGCCTGAAAAAACTATTATCACAAATAATTAGTACTTTTTTCTTGTTTTTTTTTTTTTATATAATAAATTGAATCTATAATCAAATGTTGTTTTATTTAGAAAAAAAAATCCATATGCAAACGGGTCTTTAATTAATCTTATCATCAATGGTCAATAATATTATCTTTTAGAGCTAAAGTAGACAAATTCTTTTTAAGAAAAAAAAATTAATTTGTGTGAAACATAAACATTAACATAGACAATAGAGGATCTTTAATAATTTATCTAAAAAATCAATAAGTGTTACATTCGATAAGATTTAAAATTCGTAAACTTTAAATTTTATTACATCTTCATCTACTTTATATTTGTGAAAAATGTGAATGTAAGTTATAATTCTGCTTATTAGGTTATCACATATGAAATTATATTTTTACTTGTTATCACATATTAAGTTATAATTCCTTTTATGTAGCTAATAAAGACGAATTACAATTCTATAAAGAAAAAGGTGATAAAATTTATTAATTTTAATTATATCTTAAAAATATTTTATATAAAACTTAGTAAGTTTATCTTTAATAGAACTTAAAATTTTAAATTCACCTCGATGGCCATAACAAATATACATACCGGGCTACAATAACAATAAGAACCAATCTAATGAAACTCTATAAAGTAAGGTCCTATTATCCCTAGATTATAATCGAAATTTCAAACACATTTTAGCTAAATTAAGGTCCTATTATCTCCTAAACTTATTTTTTTATAAATTTTTTTGTAATTTCGTACACCTTTTTAGCCTACATGGCATTCAAATATCTTCCACACGTCTCAATTGTGTGGAATCACGAAGTGTGCCACGTAAGACAAAAAAAATATAAAATTACAAAAGAAATAAGTTCAGAAAAATAATAAGACCTTAGTTTAATCTAAGAGAAGTAACACAGACCTTACGGCTAACTCTCAAAAATAAGAAAGACTAGTATTTATGAATATTTTGAGCCTTGTAGATTAGCATTATGAAGAAAACAAGGTAAGAGAAGTGAAGTGAGTGCTAAGGATAAGGTTGTTAATGTTTAGTTAAAAGAAAGAAAGAGTGTGAGACATAATTCATCACAAAAGCAACATCACTTCCCACCAAGAAAGGGTGGAGAACAAAATATTAGTATAATATATGGTTTCTTCTTTTTAGTGATATTATATTTGATAAGTGAAATCTTTGTAATGTAGTTGATTTATTATTTTGAACTTTTATTTTATCAATGAAAATTTATTGTTTTTCCTAGTATTTTTAGGGAAATTATCTTATTAGACCATAATATTTCCACTATATACTAAACATACCTATACATTTAAATAATTACGTATTTTATCATTACCTAAAAGTTTTCTATCATATATTAAAGAAAATATGCCTACCTTGATACATGTATTTTATCATATACATTAAAATAAGAAGAGAAGGGATGAGAAGAGGACAGAGGCGAGTGAGATGGGGAGGAGATAGTGATGTATTTGTCTGTATGTACCTGAATACTAGATAATAGTAGATTAGTGGTGAGTGAGATTTGTTTATATATCCCAAATACATGCGAATCTACTTGAATACGTTAAATCTAGAACAAAAAAATTATACCTAATTTTGACTTCATATATTCAAAAATACATATATTTGAATGTATCTAGACGCACCAAAATTCGATAACATTCGTGATATTATAAGTTAGAAAGTATCCAAATAATAAAATTTTAAACTAATAAGATTTCTGCAATTTTCTTTTTTCCCCCAATACACAGCCTTTATTTATTTTTTATAAAAAAAGGAAACATATTATTCAACACAAAACGGAACAAAAATATACTGTTGCTATCAATACTGTGGAATAATTCATAATTGGATCTAAGTTCGACAAATTACATTATCAATAACATCTCATTTCCCGTCTTAAATACTTTATTCATTTTCTTTTAATTGTCATGATATATAAATTACAAATTTTTATATATTAATATGAAATTCAACATAAACTTCTTGTATCATATTAAAAAAAAATGTGTCACATCAACTTAATTAATAAAGTAATTAGTGATATGATTAAGTGTTAAAAGTTGATGTAAGAACAAGTGTTATATTATGCATATATTGATTAATTTGGTGTTCATTGAGTGCGTATAAAAAAACAAAGTTAAAGTAGCTAGCTAGCAGAGTTCGACATATTTGTTTTTTTTTATTCAAATATAAATACTTAATTAGAATAAAAGTATAGAGATATTATAAATAATTAAAAATATAGCACTTGACTTTCTAAATAACAAAACAGTCATTTTCATTTGTTTAAAAAGAATATACAACTCCCAATTATTAGATTCAATAATTTAATGAATTATCATCACCACCCAAAATTTAAAATAATGTTTTAATTGACTCAGCATATCTACTTCAAGACATATCCACAAAATATAGCATACAAACAAGTTGTTTAAGAATTTTTAGGTTATATATTTATATATAAAAAAATTATTTTTTTCCTTTTTTATTTTATATATTTTAATTTCAATCCCTAATAGTTTTGAACATTTGACTTCTTAAGGGTTCTCTAAGTTAGTTTGACTTTTTTTTTTTTGGAACTTCTATTCTATTCAAAATTTTAATTAATAAAGACTCAATAATTGAGAAAACATATCCTAGCCTCAGTAGAATAAAATTGAAGACTCAATAATTGAGAAAACATGTTTTCACTCTATTGGATAGAATTATATGATTTTTATAAAAATAATATATATTTCGTAAAATTAATTAAGCGAAGTGGTGTATTAGGGTGGAAAAGCTGAGACGCTTAATATATCATATATATATATATATATATTATGTTATTTATTTATTTTACTTTATTATTTTAAAATTTTAAAATAGTAATTATTTTAAACTAAATAATATTTAAAATAAAACGATAATTAAAATGAAACGATGGAAGTAATTAACTGAAGTGAGGCTTGAAGCAAAGATTTCATCATCATTACAACTTAAAATGTAAAACAAATAAGACCAAAGAAAACTACTATACTATATTTTGTGAAAAAGAAAGATATGACTCATAATTAGAACCCTTAAAAGCAAATAAATATTTTTTGGTAAATCATATTTTTCATTAGAAGCAAAGTTATCCAACACTATTTTTTTATTTAAAGATGCATTAATGCCCTTTTGTTCTGAGCCATTTGAGTATTAAAAATCCAAAAAATAGATTTACAATAAAATTAACTTCATCACAACCTTTCTTAAACCCCAAAAATTGATGAGTTTAACTAATATCCATTAATCCTGATTTTAATATTTTTCACATCATTTATTAGCTCGTGAAGATATAGAGAATGTTTTTAAAAACTATCTGTACGTGTATATAACTTAAATTCTAAATTTGTTCTTTTTTTTTCTTTTTAGTTTGTATATATGGCCAAAGGGCCTTCTCCATTGATCCCTCTTCTCCTTGTACTAACTTTAGTGTTACTTCTTTATGGTCATAGTCTTGTAATAAACACTATTTCACTAGTAGAAGATTTAAATTTCACTTTTTTCATTTTAATCCCTCTTTTAGCTATCTTTTTACTTTACAATTCAACTCAATCAATCATACTACCTCTTTCTTTCATACTATTATCATATACATTTTCAAAAATCCTTATTGTCCCTCTTGTGTTGGTCATTATAATATATTTAACGAGTTTCTATTCATCTTTTTTTCAAGGGAATCGTTATAAACAGAGTCGTGTTTATGAATATGAAGATGAGTTTGGAGGATGGGGATGGTTGCTTCTTGTTTTAATCTTTTTTGTTTGTCAAGTTATGTCTTTCAAGGTAGAAGGAAATGCATGGGGGTTTGTAGTGGTAGTTGTGATTTTCTTCTTCTTATACAATTGTTTTAGTGACTAAATATTAAAGTCACTACATTTAATACAATATAAAAAAAATTTACACGATTTTTACTTGTTTTAATTTATCGTATGATAGATAATCTATTGTATTGTATAGGCTATTAATACATTTTATATATGCATGAATACTTGTAGTTATGACCATGTAAAACTTCATCATGATATTGCATATTGTATAGGCTATTAATACATTTTATATATGTATGAATACTTGTAGTTATGACCATGTAAAACTTCATCATGATATTGCATTAATCGAAGGGATTAAGTGAGTTATCCCGTTATAAAATTTGAATAAATTTATCATGTATTTAATTAAATATATTATTTAAGTTGGAAGTGAAAATAGTTAGAAAAATAAATAGATGTTGCATATAAAAGGAACAAAAATTAATGAAAAATTAAGTTAGCATTGGTCCAAATAAGGATCGATGAGTTAGCTTCGCTTAAAATGAAATCAATATTGTTTTGTCATTTAAAATATAATTCTATAAAAAAAATAAAATTTATGTAATAATTGTCAATTTAATAAAATAAAAAGTATTTTACTCCTTTTGTAGACATATTAAGAAGTTTCAGATACAATTTCTCAAATCCTTTGATTTATGGAAAAATTTTAATTATTTTTTTAGAATAGCATAAAAATGTATTGAAGTTATATTTTTCGAGTTTTTTTTCTTCTGTTAATTATAACTCCCTATGCTATTAGTCAATCATTTTTTTAAAACTAATTGTCTCGTTTATTAAATCAAGAAGCATTAATTAATTTTTTTCAATATTATTTTTATAATTAATTCTTTTTTGAAAATGTTCTCAAATAAAATATCTAAGAAATTTTTTTAAAGGATGATTAGTAAAAATAAAATGATCAAATAATATAAAATCGACATGATTAACATTTTTACATGAAATCTCGGGTGATCGGTGGACATCTAACATCTATATTAGTTCTTCATGAAAGTTTGTATCACTTTTTTAAAGTTTTTTTTTTTAATTTCAATTTCTCGAGTTTTGGTAGAAATATTTTAAAATTTTAAATTAAATTATGATAATTTAAGAAATATAACCCATTTTACATTGAATCATTGATCCTCTTATATAATAAACAACATCCTTACTTTATTAATATTTCAATAATTACACTGGTTAATATTTTATTTATTAATAATACTACATAAAAGACTAATAAGTTTTATTAAGTATAAAAGACAAAAGGAAAAAATAAAATCACACAAGATAGTGTACATCAATACTCAAAAATATTAGTAAATTGTGATCTTTTTCACTATTTTGTGTTCTTTAATTGTTTCAAAACATTTATTAGATCAAAATTGTTGTTATCAGTGATACCCAAGTGGAGCTGGACAGTCCTTCAGTTCTTGCCCATGGTAATAAATATCCTGCCATCAATTTTCACAAAAATTCACTTAATTCATCCCTAAAAAAAAACAATTTAATTTCTGCAAGAATTATACTATAATAAACAAATATTGTTAAGAATTTTTCTATGATACAACTATTGTATATCTTTAGGTTACTAGGTCCACTACGTTAGGCTCTTTTACCTATTTATTAAATTTGATCCAAGTCATTCTCAGAATACGTCTATCTTTTCAAGAATCAGATAAAATTATACACATGCTAATTCTTACCGATGCAAAGTGGTTAACATCGCGATGATGAGCCTCGTCCGCCCTAACCACCATGACAACATCTTTAAGAGTCGCGTCTTGCGTCAAACGCCAATAATCAATAGCGATAGCCGGAGCAGCTACGTTTTCAATATTTCCCTCATCTAATTCTTTAAGAAATTGTGTGTAGGAATGAATAGCTTCTTCTTCTAAGTAACCAACAATTCGATGTGCCAATTTTGGTGACAAAATATAAGTCATAAAATAGACATTGAAGAATATGCCTTGTACCATTAAGACAAGTCCACGTTCGTACCATTTTGGTTTTGATACTTCCATAAATGTCATTAAGTGCATTCTTTCATTTTCTGCTTCTTCTAATAGTGCTTTGATCCATCCACCACTGTGCTCGAATCGCCTTAAAGATTTACAGTGTAATAACATTCCTCCTACCATACCGGGGACTGCCGCCACGGTTTCCAACATCATTGCTCGACAACCGTACCTCTTCTGCATCACATTATAATTGTAAGTCGATCGAAATTTATTGATATGATATAATTTTTTATTTGTTCAAATTCGTGCTATTGACTTTTGGTGCCAATAGGGTCAGGCCGACTCAACCCATTGAAGTGCGGCTCTACTAATAGGTTAGGGGCTGGACTAGATAAAAGTTTAGTGGGCTGGGCTAGGGACGAAAAACTAGTGTCTGACCCGGCCCAAAACCCATTAAGAGATTAACAAGTTTATTTGTTGTTTTTTTTTTTTTTTCTTGTTCTTACTAAATTACTAAAATTAACATCGACATAAGTTACGTGAAACTATTTAATATTGGAATTTTAGTTAATTTTCATTAAATTTATAAATCGAAGGATTAAAGTCATACTATTTTTTTGGGAGGGTGTAAATTGTAAGTGATAAAAGATAGCTTTTTATCATAATTTGGTTAGGCAATCCACATAGATCTTGAAAAATACGCAAAATCACAAAAATAAAAATAACATAAATTAGACGAATTAGTATATTGTTATGATCGTTTAAAATTTGTCAAAGACAACCTCTTACACCAGATATATTATTATTATTATTGTTATAACTAATAATATTGAATTTTCATGTCATAAATGAAAGATTCTCAGAAAATACGTCAATTACTGCTTAGGATCGTTCTTTCTTATTATATGATAAAATAAAATAAAATACCTGAAAGAATAAGTCTGTGGGTACCCTAAGGGCCTTGACAGTCCAATAAGCCAATTTATCCAACAACGTTATAGGCTCATGGTGTTTTTTCATATCAATTGATAAATCTGCCTTGTATGTCTCCCATGGCTATATTCAAAATTTATAAAAGTAAATAAATAAAATAATCAATATATTAAGAGTATCAAATTTTAACATAATTAAATAACATTAAAAATCAAATATACATAGGTCAATTGTTCACATATTACATATATACAATAAAAATAATACTTACGTACCATAAAACAATTCCACTTCCATGGAGTACCATCTTCTTTTGTAACCTTAGGGGGTTGAATACCCCAATAGCTAACATTATTAATATTATTATTATTTCCACCACTAGTAAGAACGGTGACTTTGAATTCTGCGTCGCCGTTCTGATCAATTTTTTCTTGACTAGTTTGTTCATTTTTTTCCTTGTCGCTCAAGTTTATTATACTTGTGTTACACGAATTCGTAGTTGAAAAATACCTAACGCGTGTCATCATAATCTTTTCGAAACCCTTGATAGAATTTTCATGCAAGAAATTGAACGATGCACGAGTAATAACCCCGTTTTTGGCTTCATTTCCGGCCACCGGACGTATAGTTGAATAGTAACGTGGACCAATGTGAGACATCATAGAACGCGCCAACCTCAATGCGCCACGTATAATCATCTTTGTTATTTGAACTAATTTGAATTAAAGTGAAATTAATTGAAGAATTGCAAGAAGTTTGGATAGTAACTTAGAGGAAAAGGCAAAGTTTGAGACACTTGTTTATAAACAAAAAGGGTATAAGACACTTGTTTATATAGGGTTCGTAATTACTTCACGTGTTTCAATCTATTTGACCTATTTTTTTAGTTCTTTATAAAAAGAATGAATACTTTCTTTAGAAAGTAATTACTTGATTTTAATTTTTCAGATGACATAATACAACAAGAATAAATGATCAATTTTTTACATAACATATTTGTAATTATAAAATTAAAAATTATTTTGATACTATATTTTTAATTCAAAATCATAAAATTTAAATATATTTCAAACTTTATAAAATATTATTTGGTACTAAAATAAAACAAATAAATTAAAATAAAAAAATAATATTATTTATATTACAAAAATATTATAAGGTGCATTTAAGTTTCAAATTAAGGCGGTAGAAAACGATGTCTTATTTAATTGTGATTTCTAGACATAACTAGAGAAATCTTGACTAAACTTTTTTGCTCTTAGAATTAAATGGCAAAAATTAAAGTCAACTTTTTTTTTCTTCTTTTGTTTTTGTTTGGTAGGGGCAAGTAATTGAGAGTTTAATTATTTGTATTCTGGTTTGAATTTGATTATTTTAAAATTGTATTGCGTAAGAGTTTTATTTGAAAGAAATTTTTTATATATGATATTTCATATATAAAATTCAAATTTAAAATTTTTAATTAAAAAATTAAATTTCATCGATTACATCGTAATCATGGATAAAAAAGAACTTTTATTCTTACAAGTGTGGCAATAATTTAGCCACAAAGTAATAGTAGAGTCCACCACTAGAAACTTCCCCTCGATTGATCTACTTTCTAGAGTAACGAAAAATCAATATGGACATGATATCATTTATAGCTTTAAGTGAGTTGTTTATTATTTATACTACGTATTTAATTAATATGTAAAAACATAAATTTTTTGAAACATTTATATATTATAGCTTTAAGTGAGTTGTTTATTATTTATACTATGTATTTAATTAATATGTAAAAACATAAATTTTTTGAAACATTTATATATAATTTAGATGAAGATTATAAAAAGGAAAAAGGGAGTAGGTTTTGAGTGGTGAAAATAGGCTATATGCGAAAATAACGTAAAAATTAATTGTGCTGAAGAATGGGAGGATATAGTTAACGATAGAATGTCACTTGTCTAGAAAGTAATCATTTTTCTCATTTTTAAAAAACATATTTTTCAAAGGAACACAATTTCAACTAGCTTATCGAGACCATAACTTTGTAGATCGTTATGAATGACATAAATTATAGTAAAAGAATTTCTAGGTAGGAATGTATCATCTAGTATTCTTGTTCTCTCACCATATTAGTAGTTGTATTATTATTTTAATAATTTCTTGTTTTTCGACATCATTATTATTTGTTGTTTTTTACTTCAATTATAATATTATTTTGTTATATTATTATTCTAGTATTATCTATTTATTTTTTATATTTCCATTAATTCTTTTTTGAATTATCTTCTTTAAGGATCTATTTATTTCTTGTATCTTTATTAATTCTTCTTTGAATTATCTTCTTTAGCAGATCAAGGGTCAATCAAATATAACTTCTATCTCTAAAATAACAATAACGATAACAATAAAATCTTCGTATAGTTTACCCTTCTCAAACTAAACACACCTAATAAGTGTACTCTTAAAGGTTTTCTATGTCCTTACATACTTTAAAAATAGAGGCTAAAAAAATCAGCCTTAAACATGAATTAATTAAGGCCCAATTTTGTTTGGGTTAAATTATAAAGTTGGGCTTCACTTGATCTAGTAGTAGGCTAGCCATACATGATAAGCTTTTATATATGCTCGATCAGTCAAAATAATTATAATTAATAGTTAAAATATATAAAAATTATATATTAAGTGTGCATAATATTTATATTATAAATTAATTATATGTATATATCTTTTTTATATGTTATTTTAATGTATGACTATACGATACTTGCACTATATCAGGAGTTTTATACAAGCCTTTCAATTACCGCATTATAATTATAATCGCTAGTGAAATATACAAAAAATTATACATTCAATATAAATTTATACACAATTAAAAATTAAATCTAATCATAAAATTCAATTACTTTTTACTTTAGCTAATTGGTTGAGCATATACACATGGCTTTAATTTGTTCTTCATGCAATTTAGTCATCAGATTTAAGTTAGTAGTTTAAGCACAAAAATCATATGATATTCAAATTAAAATATTTAAGCATGTAGATTTGAATTTGCACATCCACTTTATCACTTAATCATGATTAACTAATGCATGTTTCATTTTATTAAATTACTTAATCACGATAAAATTAATTTTTTTTTAAAATATAACAGTTGTAGCTTTCACCTAATAAAAAAAAAAGAGGAACAAATAAGTGCTAAAACTAATAAGTAATAATAATAATGCATGATCCAGGAGGCTCTTTTCTTTTGTTCATTGTTCATATTAAAGTCTGACTAAATCTAAATTTTCGTTGAAAGTCCCATATTGATGGAAAAAGTGCTTCATAATAAAGTGACTCGCGAATCTGAAACCTTTAATTAAAGATAAAAGGACTATTTAGCACTCCAGATGAAGGCTCTTAGCACTCAACAATTGAATTTCCTTTTTTTACATCAATTAAATCTTCTTTAATTTCTTCTAATTCTTCTTATGTTGTCCTCTAACTTTTTGACAAAATTATGAAAGCTTTTTCTAATTATGTTTTGGCTTTATGGATATATGAAGTGCTAATAATCTTCAAAAAGCTTTATATAAAGTCACGCGTGGGATCAATGAATTAACACTAAAATAAAAGTTGTTGCCCTACCACCCCTACCCCCACCCCCACCCCCAACCCCCAAAAAAGAAAAAAAAATGGAAATTTGGAAAAGTGTTAATTTTTTTTGTTCACTAATATTTTGATGAGTGTCATTTCTCTAAAATATATACAATGTTTAGACATTAATACTAAAGTATCTTGGAATAAAATACAATGTGTAGGTTTGGTTGACTATTTCAAACGTTAATTCGTGATTCGAAGTTTATGAATTTTATAACTAAAAATTCTAAGTTAACATATAATAATAATAATTGGATTGACGGTTAAAAAATAGATATTCAGTGAATTCTTTGATTATATATATAATTTGGGTAAAGCAATTTTGAGTTCCTGTGAACATATAGATTAGATGGTAAATTTGCTTTGGTGGATATACATGTAAATTTAATTAAGTTTGTGTAATTTTTTAAGAAATATTTATGAAGTATTAATTAGTATGTTAGGGTGCACTAAACATTTATAAATTGATAATACTTAATATCAAATACAGAAATATTATTAATGGTCATGTTTCTAATTTATAAGACATATCTATTAGAAGTAATTTTGATTTATATATACAATACATTTCTTATCCACATAATTTTCGAACAAAGAACATTTAAGTCACATCAATAGTTATTCTTCAAAACTATTCCTACAAAATAAAAATATCTTTAAAGTACGTCGCATCGAAGCAAATTAGAAAAGGAAATGTAAAAATAAAAAAGTAACTAACACAGAAAAGAACTATAACAATAATAGATATATGATAATCGATAAATATATATATATATTGGACCTTGGAAAAAATGTGTTTAATAGCATGCATTTTTAGTGCATATGCAAAAGCAAAAAGTTGGTCAATATTATGCAATTTTTGTTTGACTAATCACAAAAATATAGAACAAAGTACTCTAGGTGCTTGCATTTCATATGGGTCATATCTATTTGTGTTCTTCAACATGTGCACAAATATTTAATTACAAATATTAATAATTCTTATTTTATAAGGGAAAAAAAACATGTAAATATAGGTATATATGACTAGACTTTTTGTGGTGGGTTTTGAATATTTAAAAGATTTAATTAATAATTAAAGGAAGAAAGTAGTAGCCATTCTCTTAACACATGTTTACAAAATGTATAGGTATTATTTTTTAATATGACTTTGGATCATTCAAATCATATAAGCTAATTTTTCGAGTTGAATTGAGCATAATATTTTTTGTTTATTTCATTATGATATTTATTTCTATTTCTGATCTTTTCAATATTAAGCTCATATTATAAGATATAAAATAAAAATATAATTTTAAATTAAATCAAATATACCTTTAATTATAGGCGAAATTTGAATTTTTAAATTACGATTTTAAATAAGAATAACAGAGTTGTAGATTTTAATATATGAATAAATTAATAAATTCCTTTTATGATTTCCAGATTACTTCAAAATAAAGCATCATTTCCCACTTATTAATTAATTAATTATTAATTAAATTAATTCCCAAAAACACACCCCACCCACCACCCCCACAATTAGAGAATATAATAGACAACCATACAGCTGAATCATATGATGGGATTGGTTCAATTTCAGTTCACATATAACATATATTATTTAAATTATTATAAAAATAAAAAGAGAAACATCAAATTAATTAATTTATTATTGAATTTTGGAATCCCCAATACATGAATAGATCTGAGTATGACCATTGTGCCTTTGACTTCTTGCCTCTATTTGGAACACAAGAAATCAAGAATGACACACCTTCCTAATTTTGTTAATATAATATAAAAATAATAATATTATAATTCTGGTATAAATAATTACTAGATTCCTTACTTCAAAACTGAAAGTTCAATCAAATATAGATAAAATAGTCATTTTTATAATTAGCTTAACATATACTAGTTAATTAACTAACATAGCTATAATTTAAATTAATTTTGATCCCCATCGTGGTTTTTAGTTGAATTATGTGTTCCTCTCTCCTCTTTTCCTCTCTCTCGCTTCTTTTCTCGACGTATACATATATACATACAAATTATTCATATATATATATATAAACAAATGCAATTGCCTCACTCTACTCTCTTCTCCCTCTCTCAATCTAGCTCGTATACAAATATATATATATATATATATATATATATATATATATATATATATATATATATATATATATATACAATTATCTGATATATATACATATACATTTTGATAGATATACATATATAAATCGTCTTTCTCTTCTCTCTAACATGTAGCTACGAATCTTAACTAGCAAACTATAACTATGAAACCTAATTAAAAATATTTTAGTAGCTATTT